ATATAACTGTAGTTACTGATATCTACCTAAATATAAAAAATCATTGTATGGTTAAAAGCTTTATTTTCAATGCCTCTTTATCTTTCATAAAAGAAGTCATCTCAGCTAGATGTGATGGTACACACCTACCAATCCAGCACTCTGAGAAGCTGAGGCAGGTGGGTTGCCAATTTGAGCCCAACTTGGGCAGTTTAGCAACTTAGCCAGACACAGTCTCAAAATTAAAAATAAAAGAGCTGGAAATATAGCTTATGCAAAGGCCGAGTTCAATACTCAGTACCACCAAAAAAAAAAAAGAAAGGAAGGAAGGAAGGAAGGGGAAGGGAAGGGACGGGAAGCGAAGGAAGGAAGGAAAGAAAGAAAGAAAGGAAAGAAAGAAGAATAGACGAAGAAATCCCTAGAAAAAGGACAAAAACCAGCCCTAGCCGCGCCTACCTTTCTGTTCCTGAGACGGGCTCTCCTGGTGCAGATTCTGCCCCGTTGCATCTCCAGCTGCCGGCGCTGTAGGGTGAGCTCTTTCATCTCCGCGTTCTCACGGTCCCGCAGCTCCACAGCCCAACTAAGGACCTGAAGTTCTTCTGGGCTTTCACACGTATCGTAATAGACAACTTCATCCTGTTTCTCTAAAAACGTAACAATAATACTCTTAAACAGATTTTACTATAAAAATAATGCAAAAATATTTCAGTGGAAGGAAAGTAAAAACCACTTGTACTATATAACTCCACCACTAGGGGCAAACCACTATATGGCTAAACATAACACTTTGAGGAGAGCATTTTTCATGTGGTGGAAATGTAATTCTAATGGCAAAATAGTATTTTCTAGCATTCTGCTGTCAGAATGTTCCAGGGTTCCATTATTGACTGTTTCACTGCGGTGAACCTCTCTGCATACATCTTGGTGTACATTTTTTATTGTTTCCTTAGCAAATGAGTAGCCCAGTCTCTTGATGCCTCTTGTCACAGTGCCCACCACAAAAGAAACTTCTATCAACAGCACACAACGGTCCCTTACTGACATTTAATTTTAATTACGTATTGATCTTTTTAAATACATGCTTATTAGAACAATTTCCAACCCTACAGAAGTGCACAAAGTAAAAAGTGAAATTTTCTTCTTTCTTCCCCAAATCTACTCAGATCTGTCATCAGAAAAAAAATGAACAATTTTAGGCATGCATCATCCAAATTTTTAATATTTCTTCCTACAAATGTGAAGCACTTATAACTTGAAACTACTGTAAAAATCCTTGAATACCTAGGATTAAACTATATGTTCAAAATTTACATAAAAAAGACTAAACTTGGAGGAATTTTAGGGTAAAAAAGCATTTAAATAAGAGAAACATAATCTTGGGTGGGAAGATTCAAAATTGCAATGATGACAATTTTCCCCAAAATAATCTCTAATTTTAAGCACAATCCCAATCAATATTTCAGTGAGCTTTTTGTTTGTTTTGTACTTGCCAAAGTGACTCTAAAGTTCATCTGGAAGAATAAAGAATAGTCAGAAAAATGGAGAAGTCACAAGAGGGTCCATGCCTAACCAGGTACTAAAATGTGCTTTCAAGGTACAGGAATAGGAACAGTATGAACCCCCAAACTGGAAGGCATTTGCAGGTCAGTGGAGGAGAATAATAACTCAGAGGTCTAATAATTCTGGAGATGAGATGCAGCCATTCAAAGCAGTAGGGGAAGATGTTTTTAAAATCAGTGATTGGGACTGCTGAAAGTTTGGGGAGAAAAAGATTCCCTCCACATTATGACAAACACTTGAATACGCAAAGTAAATATTCCAAAGAAAAACAGGCAAAGGCGACTAAGCACTTCGTAAAATACAAATGGCCAGTAAACATTCAAAAATTGTGTTCTATGTGACTTGTAATTAAATGAAAATTAGAAGAGGCCATCTTTTTTCTACCAAAAATTTCAAAGAATAGCATGAGTATGAGAAACAAGACCCTCGTGTTCTGCTGATGAGAACAGCATTTGTACAGCCTCTCTAGAGGGCTGCCACGTGGTGTGAAATTTAGAAATTAGAAAATAATACAGGGGTGAGGAATGATGTATCTTAAATGATTGTTGTAGTGTTAACAGGCACTAAACAGATATAAAATGCACATTCCCCTTGACCCAGAAATTCCATCTTCAGAAATCTGTTTCAAGGAAACAATCTGTCTTGTACACAAAGGTATGTGCTGTACAGCTGTTCAAGAGAGTGAAAAACTGGAAATATATATATATATATACACATAAATATATTATGTGTGTGGAGGGAGACAGAGTGCATGCCAAAAAAATGTATACACACTTTAGCAGTTCACAGTACTGATAAATGTCTGGATGCTAATGGCTATCACTTTGATCACCTCTTGTAATTATAGAGGCTGAAGGTAACTTGTATTAATCTCATGATGTCTCAATAAATTTAGTATTAAAATATCTATACAAATTTTTCTTTTCCTGATGTATACATTTTTGATGGATGATATATATGTATAAATATATATATATTCGTATATATATAAAATGTGTAAAATGGAATACTATGCAGTTGTTAAAATTTTGATGTTTTATTACTTCCTGTAGTGGAAAGATAGTTATTATACATTAAGTGATTAAAAAGCTAACTAACCAGAATATACAGTTTTGTTTTTAAAAACTGATCAAGGGCTGGGGATTTAGCTCAGTGGCACTGTGCCTGCCTCGAAAGCACAAGGTCCTGAGTTTGATCCCCGGTACAGAAAAAAAAAAAAGATCAATACTTATTTACATCTGCCATATAAAAAAGGCTACAAAGTTATACAGCAAATTCTTACTACTAAGTATCCCTAGATGATGGGCTTGGGGGTTGTTTTCTTTATTTTGCCCTGTGATGAATATATTATTTATTTAAATAATATACTTATTCAAAAATACAAAAATATAGAAAGGAAACTATAAGAAATTTCAGCAGATGTCATAGTCAATTTACAAGAAGTCAATACTAATGTGGCATTTCCTCAAAGGTGTAATTTAAACATTTTAATCTTACACATAAATTTTACCTTTTATAAGCCTTTTAACAGAGTCCAACTGTGTAATAAGAAGTATTTCTTCATTTTTTAATATCTCAAACTTAACCTCATACAGTTCCAACTGAATTTCATAATACTGTATTTCTAATTCATCTACAACATGCATGGTTTTTTTTTCTTGTTCCGGAAGCTCTTCCATCTTGTTTTCATGGAAAAAGAAGAACAAGTTAAAACAGTGTATTAAAAACAAACTTTAGAATCATTCCAGCTCTTTTCTATTCCTTGCTCAATACTAAATAGAATAAAGCAAATAGGGAAGAAGCACTTCCATTTCATCTGGCGAGACAAAAACACCTTAGCAGACGTTCATTACCGGATTTCATCTCATCTTTGGAACATGAAAATATTGAGGTTCTGAGAAGAGCAAGGCCATGAGGCACTGGCACAGACTGGGTGTGAGTCCCGCCAAATTCCTGTTAAAGCTCAGCCCCCAGCGTGACAGTCTTGGAGGCTGAGCCTTTGGAGGAAACTGAGTTTAGACAAGGCCAGGAGGTGGTCCCTGCCTGGAGGGACTAGTGCTCCTTCCTTCTCTCTCTGGACACACGCTGAGGAGAGACTATGAGCACATGGCAAGAAGGCAGCTGTGTGCAAGCCAGAAGAGGCCTCCCGGACAGTGACTCCAAAGCACTTGGCCGTAGACTCCCAGCCTCCAGAATGGAGAGAAGTTAAGAGTCTTCTAAGTAAGTGTCTATGGTACTGCCTTAGAGCAGCCCAGGCTGACAGAGATGGCTGTTTACAATGTTCTGCTTTAAAGTCCTAAGATTACGGGAAGAAAATTCAGTGACTATGATCCTAGGATGAAGCACCACTTTATTTTTCAGAGGTACTGGGACTGGGATGTGGCTCGGTAGTGCAGTGCTTGCTTAGCTGGTCCAGTCCCCAGCACTACACCAAAAAACAGGTACACTTAAAATAATTGATGGATTTATTTTCGAGTATATTATCCCTCCCTACTGAACTCAGTGTTATAAGGAAGTGAAGCCTGCAATATAGTAGTTCAAAAACTACTTGACCAGGAGGAAACTTCATGGCCAACCTTCCACAGTCCCTGAGTCTCTACCAGAAGGTGGCACTGCAGTGAGTGAAGAAGGGAGATCATTAACAGTGTCTGGCAAGAAAGGTGCGAGTGAAAAAAAAAGTGTATTTTTAAAATAAAGTTACGTTTTATCTTTGTCCTACCTTTCTCTGAATTTCAGCTCTTCTGTGGTTTAAACACAACTCTCTGGCTCTCATGAGTTGCAGGGTCTCTCGAGCAACCATGAGCTTGAGTTTCTCTAATCTGGGCGCGGCAGTGGCCCAGGCCGCCTGGCCAAATCTCTTGCTATCCTCTTCCATTTGTTTCTGCATTTCTGTTGGATTATAATAAAATAAAATTACAACTCATTAAAAAAGGTAGAATTTATCTTTAGCTAATCCTTTGTTTTTAACCTCCATTATTACCTGCAAAACATTGTTTTCAAAAGAAACTGTTATATTTTAATATTTTTTATTATCGTAAAAATAATATATGATCATTGATATAAAATTCAGGGATTCCTTTCCAAAAAGACAGTAATAACTCATGATCTACCTCACTGAGGCAGCTGCTTCTTACATTTTGGTACATATATGGCCTGACTGTTTCTGTGTCTTGCTAGATAGATGGGCTTATGAAGTTTGACAAAATAAAACTAGGATCATCATTCTGCTTTGCATCTTGCTTATTTCGCTTAATAGATCAGGAATTCTTATTTAAAGAGATACAACCCGGGCATGGTGGTGCACACCTGTAGTCCCAGCACTTGGGAAACTGAGACAGGAGGATCACTGTGAGTTCAAGACCAACCTTGGCTATGTAGTGAGTTTAAGGCCAGCTTGAACTGCATAGTGAGACCCTATCTCAAAAAAGAAAACCAAAAAAAACAAAACAAAACAAAGGATCATGCTTACTAGCTGTGTAGTTCTGTTTTGAGAATGTATCGTATCTTAACAAATTCACAAGCATGAAGAAGTTTCCTCTTTGAGGCTGTTGTGGACAGTGCTTTCACACAGACAAGTCCTCCTCCCCAGCTCCAGGGCCCTGGAGGTCTGGCCCCTGCCTGTCTTGCCAGCCTTCTCCCTCATGCCCCGTTCTCCCTCCTAGGATCTGCCAGGCACCCTCAAGCCAGAGGATCTTTTCAGGGCTCTTCCTTCCCCTGGAAGGCTGTCCCCTCTCAGTTTCGGTGACCACCCTGGTCAAACCCAGTTTCTCTGTCACGGGCTCTAGAGCCCCGAGTCCCTCTTCTTCACCTTGCTTACTGCCCCTTGTTCTCCCTGTGCTGAATGACCAGGAAATGAGGACTCCTCTTCCCTCCCCAGACTGTGTGCTGTTTGTGGATTCGATCCTTATACTAAGTTCCCAGCACCTACAAGACACAGCATGCGGTGCTTCTGAGGCACCCTGATGCTTTTAGAATTAGAATTGTGTGTATCTTAATATAACATTATCACCTGTTAATGCCTTCACTGTCTCCTTGAAATAATCCACAGTGATATCTTGAATAGAGGCAACAGCTTCTTCAGCCTGGCTGGTCCATTTTTGGGCTTCCTTCTGCAGGGTAGCCACCCTCTGCGGACCCAGCTCATCTTCATCCAGGGACTTCTGCAGAGAGAAGGGACAGCAGTAATGTAGGGTTATTAAACTACTTTTATTACTACTACTTAGTGAATCAAGTTTCCATCCATTCAGTGATCTCTGAGTATGAATGAGCTCTGAACTGGGACCTCCTGCAAGAGCAAGGGGTTCTCTGGGGCATAAAGGAAAAATCACCTTGCCTTACTAGAATAACTTTCCCTAGAGAGGAAAGATGCTACTTTATTCCTATTATTAATAACACAGTTGTCTGAATGAGATTGGCACTGCTAAGCACTCAGCCTAGGATAGGTCCATGGCATTCTAGCTATGGCTGTGGTTTCTTTTAGGGACACGCCAAGTAGCTCCTCAATACCATGCTTCTTCTCAAAAGAAAAAATGTAATATAATCTCCTAAAAGATAGTAAGATCTGTATATTCAAGATTATGACATATAGTCCTATGGACTGCATGTCTGTGTCTCCCCAAAAGTCATATGTTGAAGCCTGAATCCCCAAAGTGATAGTATCAGGAGGGAGGCATTTGGGATAATTAAGTCAAGAGGGTGGAATTCTTGTGAATGGGATTAATGTCCCTTCATACAGAAGATGAGGTATAAGAGCTCTCTCTCTGCTCTTCATCATGTGCAGACACGGCCAGGTGGCCTTCTACCAATGAGGAAACACAACCTCGTCAGACAATGCATCTGCTAGCACCTTGGTCTCAGACTTTCCAGCCCCAAGAACTGTGAAAAGTTTCTGTTGTTCATCAGCATCGAAGTTTATGGTACATTGTTCTAACACCCTAGTAATGAAGCTGTTACTTAAAACACACACACACATACACACACACACACACAAAACTCTCTAAATAATAGACTTTTCAAAATAATGAAGAGAACAACTTGGTCCACAGGCTAGAGTGCCCTGATTTCCTCTAAATGTGAGTCCATCTGTACAGTACAGTAACTGGCAAGGCCACAAGAGCCTGTGTGGAAGACAAGCCAGTGTGGATCCAGAGAGCAGGAAACCTGTCTTCAAATCCAGCCAGTGAGACTCATCAAGGCAAGATTCGTGACACCTCGGACTTGGGTCCATTTGCAGCACTGGGATGATAACAATGCCTTTTTTCTAAATAGGGTCACACGCAAGGAAATTGGAATTTTGACAGTGTTTACTGACGTTTAAATTACTGCACTACAACCTACAGCCCTGCTACTGGATTTTCATCCTATTTCTAAGAAATCGGTGTCCCTAGAGGTGGAAAATAAGCTAAAGTAAATAAATGTATTCCAAAAATACAAAAGCACAAAAGGTACTTAATCCTTTATGCAGAATTCTTAGGGTACTGAGAGGATGAACAATGGAAATGTCTCTCTCTTTTTTTTTTTTTGGTACTGACAATTGAACTCAGGACCTTCCACTTTTGAGGCAGGCAGTGGAACCACTGAGCTAAATCCCTGGCCCACAAATGTCATTTTTATCTTTTTTTTTTTTTTTTGCCAGCAGGATACTAAGGATCAAGCCTGGGGCTTTGTGCATGTTAAGTACTTATTCTATCACTGAGCTATATCCCTAACTCCAATTTTTAAAGTCAATTTTAAATATAAACTCAGTGTATCTATAATGTCATCTAAATATAAAGATGAACCCAAAGTAAAAACACAGATGAACCTGAAACATAACTCAAGACATAATAATATGACAGTAAATCTGATAAAATAAAAATATAAGGAGACATACCAAAATATTAAGCTTACTTGAAGTTGCACGTTCTCGCCTATCCCTAAGTGGCTTCAGTAAATACTGGAAAAAGACAGTTGCAGTAAGAACTAATTCCTGATATGCTTCATCTTCCTCTTGATAAAGTTTCATTAATGCTACCATGATGTTGGTTTTTCCATGCCCTTGAAGAACCTAGAAGGTAAAATATAAAGGTCAACTCTGGGTGTCACTTATAAAATCATACCAAGCAAACAAAACTAAATAAAAGAAACCCAGTGTTCTCAACTTTAATAGATCACTTTTAAATATTGATTAAATATTAAAATGTCATACAACTGTCAAATAAAACAAAAATGGTTAAATTACGGTATATCCATGGCAAAATATTACTGCCATCAGTCAGCACTGTATTTTTGAAGACTGCTTTAAAATATGAGGACTTTTGTCATATTAAACAGGGAAAAAGCAGAGCACAAAATTTTACCTCAACAATGTGCTAAGAGAAGTGGACCCAAACAACATCAAATGTTAGTAGCAATTATCTTCAAGTCCTATATTGTGGGTGGTATGTTTTCATTTGACTTTTCTGACTGTAAAAAAGCTGTACTTCTTTCTAAAAACTCATGAGGACCTTCTAGAGTTGTTAAGAAGTACCTCCCCAGCAAGGTGACTCTCTCCCCTCCCCAGGTTCATATCCCACCTGGCCACCAGCAGAGCAGACCCATTTAGAGCCTGCACTTCGGCTCTGGTCTCTGCTAAGCACAGCTTCTAATATGGGTCAGAAAATACACTGACCAGTTTATAATCCAGGTGAACTTGTTTGCTAAGAAATGACCTTCCGCACAGAAGAGGAGAAATAGAAGAAAGAAAATGGCAGAGTGGTGACTGGTCTCTCTAAGATCTGGAACACAGACATTTGAAAAAAACAACTTGGAGAATAGTAGATCACCATGAATCAGGAAGGAACTGACAGGAAAATTTAGCGACTACAGAGAAGTTAGAAGGTTCACAATGCAGAGGGAAAAGGAAACAATTTAGGCTCTCTCCCCAGCTCACATGGCTCATGGAGAGGGGAAGAGGCTCTCTAGAACCAAGTGACTAGGTGAGAGAGCCACAGGAGACAGCTACAGACAGGAAGAGTGCTAGAAAGGGATCCCCAGAGAAGTTTAAACCCAGGCCAGGAAAGACACAGGCCCCACCCATGAAAGTGAGAAGCCAGGCCCAGCTCGAGTGGTGCTCAAAAACAGCAGGTCAGAAAAGGCCTGTGGCATTAAATCCTTGCCTGCTGCCTCCATCCAGCACAGATCCAAGGTCTGACTGCCTTCCCTATGTACCAGCGTGAGCAAAGACATGCCTTGGCATGGATGTTACCACAGCCTGGGTTAAACGGAGGGGCCTCCAGAACAGGGGACATCTCACAAACCCACAGGCCAGAAGAGACCTAGACTAGCAAAAGCAATCCTGGGCAACATGAGCAAGGCAGGAGGAATCACAATTCCAGACTTCAAGTTATACTACAAAGCTACAGTGATAAAAACAGCATGGTATTGGCAAAAAAGCAGACATGTGCATCAGTGGAACAGACTAGAGAACACAGAAACAACTCCAAGCACATTCATCTACCTGATCTGTGACAAAGGGGCCAAAAACTTATGGAGGAAAGACAGCCTCTTTACCAAACGGTGCTAATGGTTCTATTCACATGTAAAAGACTGAATTTAGACCCACATCTTTCACCATGTACTAAATTAAAATAAAAAATGGATCAAAATCTATATATTGAGGGCCGGGGATTTAGCTTAGTGGTTCTGCCGCCTGCCTGAGTTCGATCCCTGGTACCAAAAAAAAAAAAAAATCTATATATTGAAACAGAAACAATCTGATGAAGATTAAATAGGTAGAATGCTTGAAGACACAAGTGTGGGCAAGGACTTTCTGAACAGAACCCTAATTGCACAAGAAATAACAACAAGAATCAACATATGGGATCATAAGCGCAAGGACCTGAGTTCAATCCCCAGTACCAAAAAACAAAAAACATATGGGATCATAGCAAATTATAAAGAAAAGTAAACAACCAACAGAATGAAGAAACAACCTATAACATGGGAAAAAATTCTGCCAGCTATTCTTCAGACAGAGAATATCTAGACTATTTAGAGAACTCAAAAATATCAGACCTCTGAAAATAAAAGATCCCATCAAAAAATGGGAAACTGAAATTAACAGACACTTCTCAAAAAAATAAACAGAAATTGTCATGAAAAAAATGTTTATCACACCTGGCCTTTACAGAAATGCAAATTAAAACAACACTGAGATTCCACCATACTCCAGAAAGAATGGCCATCATCAAGAAATCAGGTTGCGCTTGCGCAGCAGGCGGTGAAACCACTGAGCTAAATCCCCGGCCTAGTAAGAGCTTTTTTTATTTTGTTTTTCTCAGTGCTAGCAGTTGAACAACCTAGAGCGCATGCTAGGCAAGCATTCTTCCACGGAGCTACACCCCTAGCCCTCAAGAGCAACTTTTAAATGACTGTTTCCTATTATTGTAAGTGTTAGACCCCTCAGAATTCATGATAAGGTGCTATCTATACTATATATATATCTTATAAGACAACTGCAGGATACCTAGTCTTTGTAGTCCTAAATCAATCAATCAGTTTTACCGTCTCACCCAAAAATTTCACTATGCGAAAGGCATATTTTAAAAAGTGAAGTTGAAAAGGAATTTCAGAGATCTTTTATTCAAGATGTTTTTTTCTGATGAAATACATTTTCTTTTAGTGAAAGGAAGGTCCGAACCTTTTGGTAATTCTGTTACATCTAAGTAACAGCCTGTGTTTCACTGTAGTATTTAGGATGTGGAATGCCATTTGTTTGGCCGGTGACACAGTACGTGGTAAGGGTGAAGACTGTAGACACCTCAGTGTGCCGAGGCACTGCTGGCCCCGGGAGAAGAGAGGTGTGGGACGTAGGTGGGCAGGACTGGGAGCGTGTGCTCATGATTGGTCCATTCTCATTACACAATTAGAAAGTAACTTATGAAAGTACATCTTGTATTTTATATTATTTTATTTTTTATTTTTGGTACCAAGGATCGAACTCGGGTCCTTGGGCTTGTGCAGCAGGCAGCGAAACCACTGAGCTATATCCCCGGCCCCCATCTTGTATTTAAAAAAAAAAAAAGCCATTTTAAAAAAAGGAACTTATAGATCCATTTGAGCAGGAAAATGAATGATTGACAGAGACCATTTCCCTAACACTACATCATTTCTGTGCTAGTACTTTTAACTTTTTAAAGAATTTACTTCTGTATTTTGTAATATGACATGTGTATTTTTAATTTCAAATGATGTGCATACAGAAAGTATGTAACCAGATCAATCAGATCAAACCATTTTACCTAGAGTTTGGTACTGGTTTTTACTTCTCTGATTCTGTATAAGAAAAATAAATATAATTGAATTTCCAAAAAAAAAAAAAAAAAGAAATCAGGTAACAAATGCTGAAGAGGCTGTTGTGAGGGATAAGGAACACTTCTACACTGTTGGTGGAAATGTAAACTAGTGTAACTACTATGAAAATTAGTATAGAGATTCCTCAAAAACCTGAAAATAGAAATTCCATTTGACCCAGCTATTCCCCTCATAGGTGTCTTCCTGGAAAGAGTTAGAGTCATCATATTACAGTGATACATACACATCCATGTTTAGAGCAGCACAATTCATAATAGCTCAGTTTTGGAAACATCTTGTATGTCCATCAACAGATGAACAGATAAAAGAAAATGTGGTGTTTATACCTAATGGAGTACTACTCTGCCATAAAGGATAAATGAGTCACTTACAGAATGAATGCACCTTGAGACCATAATGTTAAGTGAAATGAATCTGACATAGAAGCTTAAATATCACATGGATTCTTCTATATGAGAAACCCAAACTATAAATAAAGAGCAAAAGAAAAGATAAGAGGAAATAGGGAGACAGATCTTTTGCATATGGGAAGGGAACCAAGAGATGGAGGGAAGGGTGAAGAGGGTGAAGGGAGAGAAAGGGGATAAAAATGAAGATATGCACCAACTTCCCATAAGGGATGTGATAATCATGTACTACAAATTAATTTTTTAAAAAGATAAAAACAAATAAAATTACATAATAGGGTTTTTTAACCAATATATTCTTTCTTTTTTTGGTACCGGGGATTGAACTTGGGACCTTGTACTTGCAAAGCAGGCAGGAGAACCACTGAGCTAAATCCCCAGCCCCTAACCAATATATTCTTAAAGTCTTCTACTTCCATTCTTCTCCTAAAGGAGGAACTGATCTAACCTCAGCCAGTCTTACCAGGTAGTAGTAGAGTAGTATTTAAGAGAGAGAAAAAAAGAAAGCTTCCCTGATCAAAATTAAAACACACAGACACAAAAGTAAAAAGGCAACTGGTACTTTTCAGCCTTATTTTTAAAAACTATTCAGAAAAGAAATCCAGAGTCAAAACATTCAGCTAAATTTTATACATTCTAACCAATACTAATTCTAAAATCAATTTCCTTTCTATTGCAAGTGAGTAGTAAAATTATATACACTTCCATGGACATGGTATGTTTTGCATTTCAATTTCTCCACCCATTTTTGAGCTCCAGATAAACAGGTGAATTAAAGGGTGTGAGCAACCAGCTCAGTGGTATGAGCTTTACACTAACTTGTGCTTAATACCTCTGAATGAACTTCAACTTGGGAAAAGTCTGACTTTTCAATATCTACATATATAAATGTTTGGGTTTAATGAGAAACTATTTCTCTCTGTGAGAAATCACTGTCAAAAATAAAGTTTGATTTTAAAAAGTGGTCAAGAAGATCAAAAGCTGACTGGCCTGAAAAATCCCTGTAGTTTCCTCATACTGTAAAGTGAAATCATGACAGAAGTGGGTGTGTCGATATCTGCACATAAAACCCACATCAAATGACCCCACTAACTACTTTTTAAAAACCACTTTAGTTTAAAAAGCTCACCCTGTATCTAACCTCAGAGAATCTACAGTATAAGGTTTTGGTCTTTTTTCTTTTTTGGTACCAGGAATCAAACTCAGGGCCTCACGCTTGCCAGGCAGGCACTGCACCACTGAGCTACATTTCCGGCCCCTAACAGTATTAAGGTTTTGAAATGTGCAGAATTCTTCTGTTACACCTTCCCTTCCTCAACAGAATGGCCAGAAAAACCATTTTGATTCAAAACGGTCCGTGACCAAGACAGAAAGGACACATCCAGGCCCAGAATGAGGCACCACCGCTTGGCTCTCCTAGTAAATTGTTGCTATGTAAGTCAGATTTTCGCCTCGAATCTTTTGGGAATTTGTATTTCCCCTTCCTCTTAAATTCTATAAGTTTACCGCTCAAATAGTCAATCATTCTGTGTTTGGGGAGTTTAAAAGTCCTCCAGCGGTTGCCGTTCAGACCTGATGCCTAAACTCCCTTCCTGCGGGCTTTCCATTGGATCACGTCCTTATTCCTAAACAAAGTTCCTATCTTCTAAAAGCCTCGTCATCCTCTAAAACATTCCATCTCCACTCTAGATCTTCCATGGCGAACCTAGGTCAGCTTCCATTTCGTCCTTGTTGTTATTTCCTACGGGTGGAGCGGTTTCAGTTTTGCTTTCAGAATTCCTGGCCTTTCCGGTTACAGCACAGCGTTGCGCGGCGTCTCCAGCCAAAAGGTTGGGCCCAGGCCTGGCTCGCGATCACAGACGAGCTTTGGTCCTCTCCGAGCGCCCCCCCAACTCCGCGTCCCAGAGGCCCGGAGCCCCGAACCCTGTGCGCGGTCCCGCCCCGCGAGCGTGCTCCGTACCTGCCGCAGCCGCGCGCTCGCCTCGGCCTTGCGCGCGCGCAGCTTGCGCGTCCGGAACGCGCTCAGGCTCTCACTGTCATCCGCGGCTACGGCGCCCGGGAAGAGCGCGTCACGCACGGTGTCCCCGCCGCAGGCCTCGGCCGCCGCGTCCAGGTAGCGCTCCAGCCCGGCGCACAGCTCGCGCAGCGCCGCCTCGCTGAGGGCCGCGGGCCGCGCGGGCCACACGAGCTCCCACAGCACATCCCCCACGCCGCGCGGCGCGGCCAACCCGGCCGGCAGCTCCGGGAAGAGGCGCTCCAGGCCCGGGCCCAGCGCCGCCAGTTGCCGGTGCGCGCCGCGGAGCCCGGCGGCCGAGAGCAGCCCGGCCCAGTCCCGCGCCCGGCCTGCCGCAGAGCGGTCGTGGCAGGTCACCGCGAACTGTCGCTCCGCCTCGTTCCAGGCCACCAGGAAGCGCAGCCGGCGCCGCTCGGGCTCGGCGAAGAGGTCCTCGCGCAGCGGCACCCAGCCGTCCAGGCTGTCCGGCTGCTCGTCCTCCATGGTCGCCCGGGGCCCTTGCCCGGGACGCCGCTCGGGTCACCGAGCCCACGTCGCCCTTCCCCGGCGCCGGATTGGCCGAGAGTCCGGACTGGCTGGGTGACCGAAGGGAGGGGCCATGACAACCAATGAAACGTCTCGGAGCCGACCCGGCTGCGCAATCCTGTAAATCCTAGCACTGAGGTCGCAAGTTCGAGCCCAGCCTGGGAAATTGAGCGAGACTCGAAATTCAAAAATAAATGTTAGAGGGTGTTTGGGGGTGTGTGGCCCAGTAGTAGAGCGCCCGTTGGTTCAGTCGCTAGTAGCGGGAGTGGGGGGGATCTACTTCCAACCTGATCATCACAAATCAGACAATCCAGCAGCCTGGCCGCCTCTCTCACCTCACCTTGCCCACCTTTGGACAGAGTGACGCTGGAAAAATATTTGTTAGATGAACGCGTTGCTTTTTGAGCGTTCTTCACTAAGCTCTGAACTTCTCAAGAACAGGGACACGGCTGGCTCTGTCTTCAGTCATCAGGGCCCTACCGAAGAGGTGGTTCCTGCCCTGGATAATGTCGCAGGTGTGCCAGGGACATCAAACATTCAGTGTGGCTCAGCAGTTACTTACTGAGGGCCTCGAGGAGCCATGCACTAGGGAGAAGCCACAGTTTTCTGTCAGTTCCACAGGTTTTTATGAAGTGTCTGTGTGCCCCAGTACTGTGGAGGGAGGCTGAAGGGACACAAAAGGCAGTTCAAATACAATCTGTCCACTTCTTCATTTTAGAGACAAGGAAGAGGATCTTTAGATCCAGCACACTCTGGCTACACTGGCGCCCCAGCTCCTGAAGGCCTCTTGAAGGAGACCTGGCTGGTCTTTGGGCTGAATGTGCGGCCCGGATCTGGAGAGGACAGCTGCTCTGCCCAAGGAACCCAGGGCCTTGGGGGCGGTGGCCTGTCCCTCCCACGTTCCTAGGCCCTCTGAGGGTCGTCTTTACCTGAGGTAATCTATTTTCCTCAAACTATTTTACATATTATTTTAGCTAATATGATTTGATAATCTTTTAAGTATCTTTTTGCATATTCTTTACCATATGTCTTTTACTATATTTGCTTTATATTGTTTTATACTGTGTAGTCATTTCCTACTTAATTTGGTTTTTCAAAATGAAACTACAAGTGCTTCTATTTATAAAAACAATTTTTTTCATTTTGTGAGAAGGGGATAAGTTTGTGTCTTCTTAGAAAAGAATTACAAAAAAAAAACGCCAAAAATACACACCAAACTTAACAGTAGTTGTGCCAGGGTGCCTGGCTGGTTCGTGTTTGTATTATGGTTCTTTTGTAGTATTTTCTTTTTCTTTTTTTGTTACCGGGGATCGAACTTGGGTCCTTGCACTTGCAAGGCAGGCAGCAGAACCACTGAGCTAAATCCCCTGCCCTGTAGTACTTTCTTCTAAGCCAAATAGAATATGTTACTATTATGATAAAAAGGAAATATTTTAAAAGGAAGATAAATATGATTATTATAAAATAGACACTATCAAAAGAATAAAGAAGAAAGTAAAGTAACTCAAGAGACAAACTTCCCATTTTGTGTATTTTTATAGGTATGTATGCATGCAAATATGTGTGTGGGGGGGAATAATGTTGTTTTAGTCCATTCTGGCTGCTGTAGTGATTCCGCATCCAGTGAGAGCCTCCTTCCTGGTTTGTAGATAGCTTTCTTTTACTGATTCTTCACAGGACAGAAAGGGACAAGGGAGCCCCCAGGGTCAGCCTTTATAAGGACACCCATTTGATTCATAGGGGCTCCACCTTCACAATTGATGCTTCACAAATGGCACATTTCCAAATACCTCACATTGATGTATTTAATTTGGGATGACATAAACAGTCTATGACATATGTGTATTTGTGTGGTAGTTAATTTTAATGTGTCCAGTTTGACTGGGCTACAGGGTTCCCAGATATTTGGTCCAACATTATTCTGGCTGTGTCTATGAAAGTGTTTCTGAATGAGATTAACATTTGACTCTGTAAACTGGGTGTGGTGGTGCACACACTCAGGAGGCTGAGGTAGAAGGATCACCATGAGTTCGAGGCCAGCCTGGGCTACATGGCGAGACCCTATCTCAAAATAATTTTTTTTGACTCTGTAGACTGAGTAAATCAGATTTTTCTGTCTGATGTGGTTGGGCATTATCCAATCAGTTGAAGAACTGAATGGCTCAGAAACACTAGGAGAGACTTCCTCCTGCCAGCTTGCCTGCCTCTAAGCTGGGAAACCAGGTTTGTCCTCCTTCACTCACAGTAACACATTGGCCTAGGTCTTGAGCTTGCCAGCCTTCAGACTAGAACTAAGCCCTCAGCTCTCCTGGGCCTTCAGCTTCCTGACTGCTGAATGTGGGACTTGTCAGCCTCTGTAATCATGTGAGCCAGTTCATTATAATCTCTTTCTATATACCTCAACAATGGGAATCTCTAGAGATAAAGTTCCCTGTAAGAAAGAGAGAGGATCTAAGCATCTCTCAGGCCCTGAGAGCTAGCAACCATTGTGACATCTCCTTAGTTAGGAGCAGCTTAGCACCTTCAGCTTCCCCAAGGAGTGTGGGGACCAGAGGCCTGCCTGGTGCTCCCTCCCCTAGAACAGACTTCCTGCTAGAGAGGCCCAAGCCAAGCAAGGGAGATTTTAATATTAGCTAAACCAGGTTTGGCTTTTAGATTTAATACACTGAGCTAGACGTTCATTTACTGAATTTGAGACTGATTTGGAGGGGAGGCAGCAGATTAACGTGTGGCAAAGCAGCTGGGCAATGACTGAGACCTGTCAGTCAGGGAGACCTGTGTAGAACAATGTAGAAGCCCTGTACCTAATACCACCAATCAGAGAACTCTATCTTCAGTTCTTCTGGTATGAGATCAAGCAGGGTTTTGATAGGACAGCCTGGATCTGACGCCAGAAGAAAGGCTGTAAAAGCCAGTGGCCATTAACCTCATAGGGGCTGTGAGCCTTTTCAGCAGCCCTGCATGCTGCAGAGCGTACTTTTCTTACTTTAACTGGCCCACACTCACTCTGCAGCACACGTCTTTTCAGAGGACTTCTCCCTACTTTTACCTTTAATAAGTGTAAAACCTGTACGTTCTTTGCTTGTCTTGTGCAATTCTTTGAACAGGACAAGAGCCTAGAGGGGCCCCTTGAGTACCCCACTTATAGGTAGGCTGGGCAGAAAGACATAGGGTCTGCTGATTTTCATCCAGAAGGAATAATTCTCACTTTGAGTACATTTCAAAGAATGATGGGAAGAAAAGAAGCTACACTAAATACCCCAGAGTTGGGATTGCTACAACAGCCCTGCCCCACTCCGTGTGCCTGGCCATCCAGCCCCAGGACTCCAGCCCCCATGGTAAATGAAGAAACTCAGAGCACAGCGAGTGACTTACCTTGATGACACTTGAGTGGTGAGAAGTAGCAAGACAGCCGTGGCAGATCTATATTTGGACTGGCATTCATGGCAGGCCTGTTGCTATTTGTAGCTGGAAGCAGCTTGTGTTACCATCCAGCTTCAGTGTCCTGCTGGCAAAGCTCAGCTGTAGATCAAGCAGGGTGGCCTGGGGGTGGGGCACGCAGAGGTCACCAGGAAGGAAGCCTGCTGAGCAGGGATTCGGTTTTCTAGCTGAATTCCAGGTCTTCTGAATTAAGAAGTATCTAAGGACCCTTCAGTCAGCAGGCAAGTTTTTGAATAATCATGTTCTTCTAATGCAAATTGTATTATTAGAAACTCTCAGGTTACTGCTACTATGTTAATGCAAAAATCTTTCCTTAGATAGGAAGGGATATCATGGTGAATTCCAAGTGTTTAAATCACACCTAACAGCATAAATGTTTTCTGTGCCTTCATCAGCAAAGATGTACTTTACTGAACATGGGGTGATGCCAGGTACCCAAGTTTCTCATAAAATTCAGGAGAGCCCAGTGTGTCGGGCATGTTCAGTGCTGAGACTTTTTGATGGAGCAGTTTGGAATCCTGGTTGTTGTTGGCATCTGGATGGAGTATTGGGTTGATAAATATTTTTATTTTAATCTGTACCATGCATGCCTACAAATGTCATGCTTTGATTCAAACACTGAAAATCAGCTTGTTCTGCAGATAGACTACTCCTGCCAAAGGTTGCCAGTTCTGGGCTATGCTTGTAAGGCTGGTTGGAACCATTTTGCTTTTCTGTACAGCTAACATCTTAAAGCAAGCTTGTTTGTTTTCTGTTGTTGTTGTTGTTTAGCTGTAGCTCAGGAGTTACAAGGGGCTACATGGCTGAGTTTCTACAATTATATACAAAATTACATCCCTTTCTATTACAGAGAGATTTCAGTAGATTTTCAACAATGACATGACCTATAGAAGGTTAAAAAGCATTCTGAAGACTTTGCTAATTAAAACACAGAAATGCTTCTCCAGTATAAAACTAAGCAAACATCTTTTTTTTTTTAACTGCCACTTCATGGTACAGAGGTGAAGAAGTCCCCCCAATATGTTCATTGTAGATAGTGATCTGTTACTTCATTAAACTTGCTTTTCATACTTTATAAAATGACAATTCTTGGTGTTCCTTTCTTCCCAAATACTGCTTCTGTTAAGAAAAGACTGTATGTGCTGAGGAGAAGCATAATGAGAAGTGTATGTGTGAACTGTGGGCTGTGTCACACAATTCCTGCTTTGCTCCAGGCACATGGACAAGTTTGTGTTTGCGTGTTCAAAGGGCAAATGCAAACAAATGTGGGTGCATGTGTGTGCCGGAGCTCATGTGCCTGGGGTTTCCCCCTCTTGTTGGCATCTTCCCCAGAGGTTGCTGGCTGGTTCACTTTCCAGCCGATAGCTGGAAGGCTTTCTTATGACAGTTTCTGGGAGATACAGAATTCTGATTCTCTTTCTTTTGGAAATGTAAGTGTGATTTTCCTGTGGGCACATGATTTAGTGAAAACCTGGGTTTGGATCCAAGCTCTTCACCTGACTTGCTGTGTAGGCAGCACCCAGCCCAGGGCTAGGTGCAAAGTGGGTGTGGAGATCCTTGTTGGATGAGTAAGCTCCTTGCCTTCATGAGTACTCAGTTTTGCCATCCTAGAATCCAGAATGCCAGTCTCTGCCTTGGGCCCCCGGAAGCTCCTGCCATGGAAGAGTGGGAACCTGAAGCTGTGTCTCTGCCCAATTACAAGGCTGTTGTGTTTTGGTGCCTTTTCCCATCCTCAGCTGCTCTCAGGAGACAGATGTTTCCACAACAGATGCAGATGATTCCACACTGCTGCAGCCACCATGGGCTGTGCCTGCCTGGTCCTCAGCTTTCACGAGGGACCAGGCAGGAGGCTTCTGAACTAGCCCAGGTGGGAGATGCCTATTCTAGTAATGGTAACAATATATAGCAGGGCCAATATGAGCAGCAGGTAACATTTGTTGGGGACTTGCTTTGTGCCATGCACTCTGCTAAGCATTTTATACACTTATTTCATTGAAAGGCCAATCTTGTGAGCTAGACACAGTATGGTCCACAGAAGTGAAGCCCAGGGAGGTGACTTCCCTGAGGCCATTCTGCTAGGATGCAGCAAAGACAGAACACAAGGGCAGGGCCATCTAGATCCCAAGGACAGCATGGAAGGGCAGTATCTAGAGGGTCAAAACATGGAGACAGAATCAGCATAAGTGGTCACTCAGTAGATTGGATGATATGAAAGATCAGTGAAACCAGTCTCTGGTTTGGGGCCAGAGGGGGCTGGCATTACATTATTTTTAATGGGTAATAGGAATGTCATGGGCCTTATGGGGAATACCATGGCCACGAAGGGTGGAAGAAATAGCGAGTAGGGAAGGATAGAGGGCTCTCAGCAGAAAGAGCAGGCAGAGCCAAGGCCCAGGGCAGAACCACACGGCAGACACTGGGAGGGGTCAGAGGGACAGTAGCCACACACTAGAGATGCTGTGGCTGCCTGGGGAGTGAGGGGAGTGAGGGGGCCGTGTCCAAGGGAGCCCTCCGAAGGCAGGCTGCGGACCTAGCACTTCTGCCTGGGTGGCACAGGACAGTGCTGGGCCATAGGCTTGGCAGGGACACTGCAAGGACAGTCACATGGTATGTAGGCAGCAGAATGGTAACAGGTGTTTTTGAGGAAGACTTTTGCCCACAGGGTGGCACTCGATGTGCTACTGGAGCCACAGAGAGAAGTAGTATGACTTTAGCTGATGTGACCAGAACTCATGCTATAGGAGGGAGCAGACTCGTGGATCCCGGGACAGAGGGAAGGTGGCATTTCTGAGAAGTTGTACCACAGCCTAAGTGGGGTAATAATCACCAGTTTGCCCATATGGAGCCTCCTCAAGAACAGAGACTGTGTCCCCAGATTCATTGTGCCCACAACACCTAGTCCCACCTAGTCAGTCGACCCGCACCTCACCAACCCTGTGAACACTTGGTGCTGAAGCAGTGAGTGATACCCAGAGCCACAGCCTAGTATGCAGGGGATCAGCCAGAGTCACAGGGCACCTCAGTTTTCCCAGGCGACCTTTGTGTAAAGCCAGACGTCCCATGTCACTAGCCACTAGCTTTGTGATGCTGCCTCAGGAGGTACCTTCCTTTATCCCATCTCCCCAGCCAGGTCCCATGTGTGGTCCAGTCTGGCCTGGGCCAGGACACAGCAGAGCTGGCACCTTGTAGACCAAGCCTGCATGGTGAAAGTGTTCTGGAACTGGATAGTGGTAATAGATGCACAACTCTGTGAATGCACTAAAAACTACTAAACTGAGTACTTGAAAAAAGTGAGCTTTAAACCAAGTATGGTGGTACTTGCCTGTAATCCTAGCACTCTGGAAGGCTGAGGCAGCAGAATTGCAAGTTTAAGCCCAGCCTGGGGAATTTAGCAACTTAGTGAGATTCTGTCTCAAAATAAAGAATAATAAGGATCAGAGATGTAACTCGGTGTGAAGGCCCTGCGATCAATCCCCAATAATGAAAAAAAGAAGAGTGAACTTTAAACTGTATCTTTTTCTCTTTTTTTAGACAAAGTCTCTTTATGAAGTTTAGGCTGGCCTTGAACTCACTATGTAGCCCAGACTGACCTTGAATTCTAGGCAATCCTCCTGCCTCAGCTGGGATTACATGCCTGTACCATCATGCCCAGCAGTAAATTATATCTTAATAAAGCTATTATTTTAAAAAGTGTGAAATAGTTGGAAAAGATATACTTTTTGGCAAATCATAAATATTCACATTTGCAAACAAAATAATTTCATAACCTCTTTAAATTTATTCAAGGAACTCTTAAATACTATAACAATGTGATATTCTTCATCTAATATCTTAAAAATGTAAAAACGGGCCAGGGATTTAGCTCAGTGGTTCTGCCACCTGCCTCACAAGCACAAGATCCCGAGTTCGATCCCTGGTACCAAAAAAAAAAAAAAGTAAAAACAAACTCATATAATACTAGAAAATTTACATTACTCATTTTTTTTCTCCTTGAACTTGTTTTTCCATTTTACTTCTCAGCAGAATTTTGTCCTAACAATGATTTTTTCTAAATTGGGAAAGTCATTTGTTGATCATCTATGATACTTCTCTGCAAAAATATTCATATATTACTTGAGATTTAAATTTCTTATTTTCCTGAATCCTTAAGTCTCTAAATAGTATGCTTTTTCTTTCCAAATTAAGTTACCAATATAATTTTAGTCCTATGTCAGTAAAAACAGCATACATACATTACAAATTTTAATAAATTTTTTTGAAGCAGGGTCTCACCATATAGTTCAGGACCTTGAACTCACTACATAGACCAGGCTGGCATTGAACTCCTGGCAACCCTCCTGCCTCACCAGGAGTTGGGATTACAGGTATGCACCAGCACACCCAGCTGATAATTATTTTAAAAACAAAATGAAAACACATCTCCTAATGAGGTGGATGGGGATTTTCTTTTTTAAACTCGTGTATCCATGGATGAAAATTACATGTTCTAGAATACAGTGGGATTTAGAGTGAATTGTCTTGCTGGCTTTCACTTTGTAGTTGAAGCCCAAGTGATCTCATTCACCTACATAAGTAGAAGGAAATGAAAGCAGTTTATAGAGCACTGTCACTCAATCCTTTGAACTCTTTCTGAAATGGATGCCAAAATTATACAGTGATCTATCATGAAAAATTATTTTAATACTATATCAGCTGACAACTTGACTAGGTCCTTTTTCATTTTTCTTGGAAGCAAAGAACTAGAAACCACTTAACTTGAAAAACCTTTTTTCTTACCCCATCATTAATGTCACTCACTTTCTCAGTGTTGTTACCAACCCTTCAAATTGCCCTTTCCTTTAGTCAGCCTGGAGGTCTCTTAAATTCCCCACGATGAACTCTTACAGTGCAGTGTAATATCCAGGACCAGCGAGGAAAGTGATTGTACTTTTGTAATACAAGAAGAGTAATTGTGGAAAGAAAATCTGCGTGGAGCTTCAAATGCTGGTTCATTCCTAGGCAGAGAAGCTCTGGGAAAGATTAAAGGTGAGGTTGAGTATCAGGAAACTGATAGCTCTTAAAACTGTCCACATCCATGAGGCCCTTGGAGAGTCTCTTGTACATAGCACACAGTCTAAATGCTACCCTTTGAAGGAGCTTGAAGATGAACAAAGGAGAGAAAGTGGTACAAGAGGGGAAAGCCAGATGAACAGAAGGTTACTTTTAGGGTGGGATAATGTAT